TTTTTTTTGGAGGGGAATTTGTTTTTAAAATTCCCCCCGGGGGTGTGGGGATTTTTCCACCTTGGGTTTTTTTTTTTAGTTTGGGGTGGGGGGCCAACTCCGGGAGGGGCCAGGGGGGGGGGAAAATAACGGGCCCGGGCCAGGGGGGGGGGGTTTCCATTTGGGATGGTCCTGGGGGGGAAGCCCGAAAAAAAAAAAAAAAACCCCCCCCGGGGGTTGTTTTTGGGTTTTTTTTGGAGGGGAAGCCCCCCCTTTTTTTCCCAAAACACCTTGCCCCCGGGTTTTTTGTTGGTTTTTTCCTTTTCTTGGCCCCCAGGCCAAAAAAAACAGGAAGGGGAGGGTGGCCGACGTTTTTCATGTTGGGGGGGGGGGGGGGGGGGGGGCATGAAACCGTTGCAACGGATAACCCCTCGTTGCTCAAAAGCGTGGCAAGCGGCGTCGGGTGTCCCTACTCGACACACAAAGGTTGAGGTGACGTATTCGAAAAAAAAAACAGGAATGGACTAGACCTTCTCGGGGTAGGCATGAAGCATCTACGCAATTTACCTGGGAAACAGGATAATCCACGGCAACAAGGTGTTGAGGGGGACACAAGAGTAGGCGGGGTACCCTTACGCCGACACTCTTACCCAAAGCTCCATGCCAACCTCCAGCAGCACGGACAGGATGGCTATCTTCTCCTCCTTGATGTACTTGCAGCTCGTGACCTGCAGAGAGATGAAGTGGCACGTGGGGAAGGAGGGGCAAGCATGGTGCCTTGAACACTCGGCGGTCCCTCGCATGACACGTACCCCAAAAAACGAGACGGACCGGATGGTCGTACTTGCTTGCAATCGTGACTGGACAAAACTTCGTGCAAACATCGTGACGCGATACCCTAGAAAGGGTAAGGGACAGCCGCGCCGATTTGACAAGACTGCTTCCAAGACCCACACCCATGCGTGCGAAAAGCGGTAAAGGGGGACGGGGAACGCAACGACGTTATCCCCGGGCCCAACACGTGCGCACTATCAACAGAGGTAGTCGTGGCTCCGATATTTGAGGGTGGTGTGATGAAGGCCCTCGACCCTCATGTGTCGGAGCCCCCTCTTTCGTTGTTCCGGAACAAGAGGATCAACCTCCTCCATCTGGATCCCCTCTATATCAATACATGTGTTCAATTAGTAAAAAAGGAAGATCGGGAATATCGAGAAACAAAGCACTTGCAGCAGAGCATACATTAACCACGCGTGTGGTGGGCTGACTGACCGAATCGGCATGCCCAAAGCAAACCAGGCGGTTGTGATCGTGTCGGCAACGCTATATTTCGTGTTTACATACAGTTCGTGCATGGAGTGGTGACATCTGCACAGAAGATTTGTCCCTGCAGACATTGATACGAGGCAACTTACATGTAAAATGCATGCACTACACGCCTACAGGGTCGAAACAACATGTTACAATGCCCTTCCCCGAGAAATTTCATGCACACGGACTGCAGCTACTGTACCGACGAGCCACCTAAAATGCCTTGCATACTTCGTTCGAAGTGCTTCACAGCACCACGACAGCAGTACCTCACATCTGTTGGGCCCAAAGCGGCGCTGACAGCTCTGACACTGTCCGCACCACCTTCAAGGAACAACAATCCGCTCTCAATCAACGCCACACATGTCCGAAGCATACATTCAAACCTACAGTACCCGCACCGTCTCTTCGTCATCTCTGGTGTTAGTGGCTGGTGGAGATTGAAAGCATCTGCAGTCGGCGGGGAGCGAAACGGCGGGTCTCAACCCGCTTTAAAATCTACATACAATACATGGCATTCACAGAGACGGACCCAACAAAGTTCAACCGACAATAAATCTTGATCAGGGTAGGAGTAACATACGATTGGAACTGAGGTTGCTGGCCCTGAGCGCGTCATGGCCGCTAGCAGGAGCTAGCAACTGGTTCCACCGGCGGAAGACTGCTGTCGCCCCTTGCCCTGGGGCTAAACGCGCGATGCGATCCTCGGAACGTTTGATTTGTAGTCTACATGGTCTACTCACGGAGATGGGACTGGACCTAAAAGGTGTCGGTCAGCCCGAAAGGGGGCATTCTTGTCAGCATACCCATCCGGCCAACAACAGCTCGTTTGTTCCGCTGTCCTTCGTTCTAGCATCAATACAAATGCACCTCTCTCACGAGCAACTCCTCAATCCACACGCCCCGTACAGCAGTACGGATCGTCACATCTCTCACCCGCCACAACCCCCAACTGACTCGCCAACACACCTTCTTCGGCTGGCTGGGACTCTTTCTCGTCTGCTCGTTGGGATCCTTCTGGACGTCAATTTGACTATTGTCTTGTTGGCCGTCCAAGACCTGAGCGGGCGCCGCGGTAGAGAACGGAGCAGGACTTGCCGGTGTGATGTTCGGCGGCTGCTCCATCCTCCTCTCCTCTCCCTCCTCTCTGTGTGTGTGTGGCTCTTTCCCTGCACTTTCCCCGCCGTAATATTTTCAAATGGGGCTCCACTGGGACTCTCTTTTTTTCAGCGCTATTTACCCTCTTCCTCTCCCACACATGCACACAAGCACTTGTCCAGAAATCTGGCCACAACGCGCTACCCCCTTTCCACACAGTCACATGCACGCGTCAAAATATCACGCGCAACGCCGGTCAACACCTGTGCTCGCGGTGGCGTGGTCGTAAGTTTTAGTCACGCGCGGGGGGCTTCGCACATCGTATTTTTGCAGGAAGCACATGGGGCACGAAGCAGAAGGAAGAACTCTGTGGCGGGCCCCCCAAAAAAGATTGGATTGGTTACAAGTACAGCAGTAGATAGAGTATGCATGTCGTAGTCTTTGGATTGAAGCATTTGTGAAGCATGACATCACATGAGCAGGCAGGATGACCGACCACGCCACCGTGCACCGCGGCGTCACAGCAGTGTCCTGGGCTTCTGGACTCGATGTGACGTTCCTCTTTCATATTCAGAATTGGCCTCAGAACACTGCTGTGCCGGTGGACTGTTGCTCAAATAAATGGTATGCATCTGGTTGGTATTTAGTGGAAAATAGCTCTCCACTCCCTCGTGGTGCTACAGCAGTCTACTGGCGTAGGAGGCGTGAGCTGTCTTGTAGGTCTAGACCACTTAGTTAAGTCCGAGGACGTGCGTGCTTGCTACCGCGAGGGTTTTCTGGGGCTCTGTTGAAAGGGGAGAGGAAGAACAATGGTTGCGATGGTGTGATACCGATGCACTACATACACATACATAATCTACATACGTACGTTGGAATAAAATCGGAGGCTCTCGCAACAGTATAGTACAGTATTGGGAACTTGACCCTTACCCTCGAACAGGGAATAACATTTACTCTACAATAGACTACCGGAAGGGGATGAACTCCGTCAATATCGAAAACCAGCGCACACAACACGCGGTCATTGTTTTGCCGCGGTTTTCGACCCATGTCTACATACCGCGACAACTATTGTAAGAGAAACTGCACGAATTACGCGAGGGTAAACGCTACATATAAACGCAGGAAATGGCTAGCAATTGCGGGGGGGGCTGTTGTGGACCACTTCAACCTAACAAGTATAATTGTTCCGCGCTCAGCGAGGCCGCATCATTATATTTTCGTGGGAGTTCTTTTGGAGTCTGATTCCCCTTCATTTGGTTGGTTGGGTGGTGTCACCGCCCAACTTCAAAACCAGCAAACGCCACAAGAGCAAACAAGGAACACAAACCTCCCCCACATTGTTGGCTACTCTTTGTCGTCTTCCCATCACAATTTGTCGTAGAATCTCATCGATCGTAGGGTATAATGGGATTCGTGCCAGGTGTTACTCTCGCTCCGAATGCATGCAGCTACCCCGCTCATTGTAGGATCAGCCCCTGTGCAAGCGCTTACGGTTCAGTACGCCCCTTTGTATCCAAAAGTCGCAGAACCATACCATGTCGGAAAGAGTTAACATTCGTCGCTCAGAACAACCACGAGGGAAGAACTCGCAACGGTAGAGTCGGCGTTGTCCGACTACACAGACTCGTGCCGTGCAGAGCTTAAACCACCACAACGTGTCCTTGGCCATCATCTGATTCACACGAAACACAGAATGTTTCGGAAAATTTCTTCGTTTCCCCCCCGCAAACTGAACAGGTTCGCCACGAGCCCCCTGAAGTCATCCGCAGCTGCATCACCCGCTTCCTCAACCCTTGCAACTTTGTTGCGCCCCACCTCCTGCTCAAGCCTTGCGTGGCACGCAAGTAAGAGGCCACGGCGCCACCACAACGATCGCACCAGGTATTGATGTATCTGCTCGAAAGTCGCATCATTATTCTCAACATCATAACGTGAAAGTGATAAAGCTTTTGAGACCGGGGTATCGTCGTCCTTGTTCTTGGCCAGTTGATCTGCTCCCGCAGCCACCAGCATTTCCAACAACTCCAGCTTCGATCCTCCGTTGTCGCCCGCTTCCGCTCCCACTGCCATGTGCAACGGGGTGTTGCCGTTCTGATCTAGTGCGTTGATGGCCGGCCCGTGCGTCAGCAAGGCAGCCACGGTCTCCAGGTTGTGGAAGCTGCAGGCGGCATGCAGGGGGGTCCGGCCATTCGAGTCAGGCACGACCTTCGCCCCAAGTCTGACCAGTGCATGCACAGCCCAGGGGTCGCATTTCGCTGCCGCGTGCAGGGGGGTATCGCTGTCGTCATTCGCAGCATTGACCTTCGCACCAGATTCAAGCAGCGCAAGAAGTACACCCCAGTCGATTTCGCTGATTTCGGAACTAATCGAGGCGAAGAGCACCGTCTCGCTATTACCGGAAATGTTGGGGTTGGCTCCGGCAGCTAGCAGGGCTTTCACGGCTTCTAAATACCGCCATTGTACTGCCCGAAAGAGCGGAGTTGTGCCGGCCTCTTCGTGCCAGTCAAGGTCTGCACCGTGACGCGCGAGAGCCCCTATTGCGTCCGCCGCGCACCCCTCCACCGCCGAGTGGACAGGGCTGTCGAAGCCAGCCGGCCCGGAAATGACGGCGCCGGCCTTGATCAGCACGTCGATCGCTTCCGCCTCGTTTCCCTCGGCGGCCTTGTGCAGAGCCGTTAGGTTGCGCCAACTTCTCGTACTGGGGTCAGCTCCATGTTTGAGCAGCGTTTCCATCATGGACACATTGCCGTAGAAGGAGGCGATATCCAGCGCGGCGAAGCTGTCACGCTCTTCGCACAGGTAGGCCATCGCACGGCAGGACGTGTCGGCCCCTGCAACACAGAGGGCGTCCACAGCTGGCTCCCGGCCTCGTAACGCTGCGATCAAGAGAGGTGTGTGCCCATCGGTATCGGTGGCGTTGAGATCAGCCGTGGTCTTTGCGAGGTACTCGATGGCAGCTGCCTGTCCGCATTCAGCAGCAAAATGGAGAGCCGTACGACCTTTGCTATCCACCGCTGTTACCACCGCCCCACGCTCGACTAGCAGCCTCATCCCCTCCGCATGGCCTTGCGCCGCTGCGACGTCCAAAGGGGCGTATTTGGCTTCCTTGAGAACTCGTAGAGAAACATTTGCCCCGGCGGCCAGGAGAGCTCTCGCCACCGCCACCTTGCCGTGGCGACATGCCACGTAGAGTGGCGTTCTTCCATTGCTGTCAAACGAATCAGGGTCGGCCCCTTCGATTAGCAGCGTTCGCACGACTAGGTCGTGGCCGTGGCAGGCAGCGATATGGATAGCTTCCATACCGTGACGGTCCTTCGAAGCTACAGACGCCCCGTGCTGAAGCAACTCACTGACGACACGTCGATGGCCATTCCGAGCAGCCGCGGCCACTCCGTTTCCTTTGGCCCCTGCCTTGAGCAGCATCGTGGCCAGCTCAACCTCTCCGTAAGCAGCAGCGCGCTCAAAGGGCACTTGCAGCCACTCGCCCCACACCTGGCACAGATTCAACGGATGTTGCGGTTGCAAGTGTGGAAAGTTGTGGTACCACCATGGAAAAAAAATGAAAGTAGGAAAAGACCCGCCTTTTGTCGACAACTACAACGACAAGGTGTGAGGGTGCACAATGTTGGGTTATGAAAAAGACAAACAAGTCTGGCAATCGACGGGTTCGCCACTTCACGGGGGGACCCATCACAGCGGACCTAGCTGCCTCTGTTCAACAATATTGAATGTACTCGGAAGTTGATCGACTCTTTGCCAAAATGCTCCCTCGACCCAAACAGCTGCAACACATCCCCTCGAGTCCCGTCTTAAGAAACAATACTAGTCCACCTACTGTATTTCTACAAGCTTTCAAACAATTTCACGAGCATCCGCAGGCCGCCTTCAGAAAAACCAAAAAAGTTTCATCAGACAAGGGGAACTTCACGCTCATGAAGGCCAACATGCCCACCGATGCAACAATTTATAGTTCATAGTGCGGGCTCAGCACTATGGAGGTTGGCTCCAAAGGACGACTCGAGTGGGTCGGGCATATGATCATCGAAGCCGGTCGAAGAGGAGTCCAACGAGTGGACCACAATCGTCGTCGGGACGTGGATGGGAAGCGGCTTCTATGGAACCGACACATATTCATCACCAAAACTGTGGGAAAATTGAGTTTTATGGGCAGACCTACACCTGGAGAGAGGAGGGCCGCCTATATTCTTCAGGGACTGTCAGCAGAAAACGACAAGACAAGATGTAGTGCAAAAGTGCACCGGACCGACTACGTTTCCGAAAATAGTTCGGGCGATACCTCATCATCATCATCCTCGTCACTAGAAGGCAACAACATTTCAATGCGGGTTAAAAAGACAAGAAAGCGAGGCCAACAAGAGAAAATACAACAGCAAGCGAACCAATATGCTCCAGGTGGAGTTGAACCGCTTGGCACCGCGAGGAAAGCTATGTGCACGAGCGCGTGAGATACCACCGTATCCAGAAGAATTGTTCGTCTACCCGGTTCATTGTCGACGCTGGGCGCGTACTATGAGGAAGATATGCCATTAGTGAGCGCCGAACGTTAGAAAGACGACATCAACACAGGAGCATCCAGGGCCTCAAGAACGACGAAGACGAAGACCTAGTCAGACTAAATGTCTGTCCTCCAGGATCGACAGCGATCAGGTTGTAGCCGGAACGAAAACGATCAAATACATCAACCAGGAACATAGGCAAAGCAGCAAGATTTCGCTCATCCAGGGCGACAACAACAGCGTCTCCAGAGAAACATCAGCCAGCGGCTTCAAGGCTACCTGAAGAACAAGAAATCGACTGAAGAATGCGACGCGAGCACATCGGGTAAGAACCGTAAGGAAAATGGAAAGATACAGGTAATCTGCTGACGCTAACGATGAGTTCACGGAAGGATTTCACGAAGAGTCAAGGTGAATCTCCGGCATATATGTGAACATCACAGACGCGATGTCTATTTCTGGTCGATTCTACAAATGAAGGGTGGGTGATATGCCAAAGGCAGACACCTCTGTGTAGGTGTAGCTGAGTGCAGCTGCGATTCTCGGTAGTAGGTGCTATCAACACCGTTTTCCCAGTCGTAGCGGCAAACATCGTGATGAGCCGTACTACATAACGAGCAAATATAGGAGGGAAAAGTCAGTTCGTCAATCGAAAAGAGGTTTCGAGCTGAATTCAACAAACTTTTGGAACGAAGCACTACTGTTGTTTGGCTCACTGCCAAGGGGAAGAAATGACTGGCGGTCAAGCGACAACGGAAGGTTTCTGAAGCACGAAGTAAGGCGTGCACCAGGGGGCGTGTCGGACTGCAGTAACACCATGCGTGTGCACGTCAAGCGGTAGAATGTGTACAGCACGGTCAAGAAAGATTTGGGAAAAGTTGTTGAATTTCATGTAGCATGTGCACCCATCAAAGGCGTGTGTTGAAACGCAGCAGTAGCACAGCCCTCAAAGTTCGCGAGTATTCTGTAGGAAGTTAACAGTCAAAGTACATGCTAGTCGTGGCTCCGTTATAAGGGGGTGGTATGACAAAGGCTCTCGAACCTACAATATTATATCGGAGCCCCCTCTTACATCGGTATAAGAGGGTACCCTGTTATATCGGGGTACTCTGTGTGGGGTACCGTCTTGGAAAGGGAAGACCGGGAATATGCATTAGACCGCGCCAACCGCCTAACCACCTAACCAATGAATGTGCGCTAGTCTCAGTGCGGTTGAACACAGAAAATGCTTCAAAAGGCCTCGATCTGGGACCCCGTGAGGGGGCGTCACGGGGGAGGCTAATCAATTCTCCAGATTAAAGATAGAACATTGCACGTGTTGACCAAGGCCGCCACTTTGCACACGTGACAACCGATTTCGACCCTCATATATCGGAGCCCCCCGCCATTGACGTGTAGATTTTTTTTTTTTTTTTCTTAATATGACACCACGAAACCATCTCCATCATAGAAAAGAGTCTGAGACAGATTAGCAATGGATTCAATTTTAATTTTCCCAAAACTTCCAACGGGAGCGGGTACAAGGTCTTGGAAGATCCGTTCGAATATTATTCCGCATGTACTGTAACAGATTGCGCTGGGTTGCGTTGCTGCCTGGGCAGCGTGTCTGGCACCTTACACAGCATCGCAGTTAGACTACTGCAAGGTATTGAGTCGTCACCCGCGACTAATGACCCTCTTATAAGGAACCCTCGTACAATAACGGAGCCACGACGGTAGAGCCGATTGAAGCTACAGCAGTATATCGTTTCGAAATTACGCAAAGTCTAGAGAGGACAGGGAGGGTGGCGCAGCCCCACATGCTCTCCCCAAGTTTCCACCTCCTCAGTCAGACCTCTACGATATTTCCCCTCCATCGTCTTGGATTGTGTAGTCTAGATTGCTTACAGTACATCTCAAGTGGAGTATTTGAATGAAAGGTGCCGCCAGGAATCGATTCATGTAAACAACTGTAGTAATGTATAGTCCTTCTTTCAGTGTACATATTTGTACATCTCTACAACTGCTGTGTTCCTAGATACAAAATCTCACCAGGACACGAACTCCCAACCTCTCGGCGGAAAAAAATTCGGGTTACTACCGGTTACCGATGTACCTGCAAACGGCCAGAGCGACCGGTTTTTCTGCACTACAGCATTAGATTGCTCCTGTAGGTGATGATGCGGTAACTGCTGCCTTGTGTGTGTAGGTGCTGTGTACGGCTTGGATTTCAAAAGTACGAAATGTTTCAATTTCAAATTCATGCCCACTTCAGCCGTTAGCTCGTTCTGAAGTGAGACAAGTTGCAGAATCTCCTCGCCCATCCCGTCCAGCATGCAGCGCTGCTCCTCGCTGACCAACACAGCAGTGTCTGGCATGGTTTCAGTCGTCTGCTGACAAGGCTAAGCTGCTGGTGGATGTTGTGTGTGGTACCGTGGGTACAGAGCATGTCAGCATGTCAGCACTAGAGGGCACACGCTGCTGATACATGTACCCTAACCACGCACTTCTCACCACGAAACCCCCTATTTAAATTTCAAATGCGGGCTGTCTCCCTGTCTGCTGTTTCTCGCAGGAGGCGGTGTACTGCTGCTGCGTACGCTGTGCGCTAGCCCCTGCCAACGGGTACGTCTGTGGGTGTGTTGCACATCGCCGCGATGTGGTGATAAGGAATTTCGCGGCCTCCGTTATTCGTGACCAACTCACGTATTTTGGACCCCTCCGAGGACAGGACCGCCCGACAGCAGGGTCATCATCGAGGAGCGGGAGCTTGATCTTGCTGGGCTGGGGAAGAAGCTGGGGTTGTTGGTGTCGCCACTTTTCGTGCAGCTACAGCAGTCGCTTACGACGGAAGACCAGAAAGCAGCAGGGTGGGTGATTGGCACCGCACGAGCACATCAAGTACGGCAGCGTACGGAGTTCAGACCCATCAGCTGCGTGTGGAGTGTGGATACGACGAGGCTAACGTCTGCTGCTGTGGAGTTAGAGAGACTAAGAGAGTAGGAGACCAAAGGGGATCTGTTGTGCGCTCGGATCCCACTGCGATGAGCACTTCTGCTGGAGTCAGCGTGCAGAAGAGACTCTCTGACCAGAGGGCTAGACTGCTGGCTTTGGATTACCATGACCCCTTCACCGCCGAGTCGCTCGCGTTGGTGGAACGGCTGTTTGAGGATCTGGTCACCACTACAGAGAGCTACGAAGACCTGCAACAGCGGGTGAGAGAGCACAGGGATGCAGAAAGCACGCATACGGGAGGACCCACACCTATTGCATGATGCTGCTGGTGCTGCTGCTACGCACTGCCACACATGCAGCCTTTGGAGTGTTGCGTGCTGTGTTTTCTTTTTCTCTTGCGGAAGCAACCCGGTGTACTCTTTGTACTCTTGCTCGCGGCAAGGAATCACGCCGCACGCTTTTCGTCAACTCCTCACCAGATGTTACCGCTGTACGGCTAAATATTGGTCTGCTGCTGTGCAGCGGTGCCGGCTCGCAGGTCCTGTTGTATGTTGGCGATGTCATCATTGCGAGATGGGCAGTAGGGGTACCTGCAATGTAGATGGCCGCATGGTTTCGTATTATCCTCGTTTGGCGGGCTTGCCACGGCCAAGAATGGGAGGAATGTCATGTCTGCAATAGTTCTAGAATGGTACGAGTTCAATGTAACATTAACATTCCGACCAACCATTCGGCGGCATGGCAGGCGCGACCCCCACCCCCTCCCATCGCCGATTCCGCTGGTTCTCGCGACCCCCGCCAAAGAATGTGCAATTGGCCCCCAAAACCAACCTTGGCTGTGCCCGGCGCATGTATCGCCTTTCTGAAGACACAAAATATGCATACATTCGCCTACAGGGCGAAGGCGATCCAAGTATCCCGGGGATGCAGCAAGGAGTACTTGCACGTATACGACACAAGATAACACACCCCCTGGACCGATTTTCAAAGCTTGATTTATCAACAGCAGAAGGAGTCGCGGCGCCGAAAATGGTGGCGTTGAAACCGTCTGGTGCAGAGCTCTCCCAAAACGTATCGTTTCGTTTTTGCATCCTCTCCGTCGTGGGGTAATCGAGCTTTGAAAATCGCTCCAGGGGGTGTGTTATCTTGTGTCGTATACGGTATGTTGGGGTTGTGCAGTACCATATTTGCATCGACACCAAACCCGGTTGTACTCGTGGTGTGCATGTAGTAACAGGTGGGGTCTTTTGGACTTCTCGGACACAGGAAAATCAAGCCGTTTCCGAAAGTTTTGTCAATTGTCCGGGTACATGAGAGCATGTCGGACGTTTTCGGTCTTGCGCGTTTGGTCCGTTTGTACTTCTAGGATGGTAAGCGGTGACGATGTGTTGCAGAATTTTTTTGTGTTCATCCGTGTGTGTGTTTATGGCCGCTGTTGCGTCCTTTTTCTGTCGTTATGTGCCTGTCTCGCTCTGTGTCGTATCGCACGATATTGAAAGTCTTTCGTTTTTACCATACATACATCGTGCCTGCAAACACTGCTTCGCAGGAGGATCAGACGGCCGCCGACCTGGCCCTCAGCCGCGCGCAGCTCTTCCCGCTCAAGAAGGAGAACGCCCGCCTGCTACGGGACAACAACCTTTTGCACCTCAAGGTGCAGTACCGTAGCAGAAGGTCTCCCGCCGCTGCTCGCAGTCGTGGTGCTCGCAGTCGTGGTTGCTGATGCGGCTGCTGTTGGTACGAGGTCGATTGCTGCCCGTGACGAACAGCAGGGAAGTTTCTCTTTTTTTGGTCCCACACCGACGCTTGCGGTCGCTGTTGCTGATTCTGCTGCGGTTTCATTGCTGTCGTTGCTCTGTCGATTGCTGTCCGTGATGAACACAAGAAGCAGGTTTCTCATGTTCTGATTGGACTCCACGGCAGAGCGTACAGTCGTCGCATGCGCCCCCTTCTTTGGACTGATTGGTCGGCATGCCATGTACTGACCAGCCCTACCACGCGCTACGGCACCTCGATCGTACGTTCGTCCCCAGTGGTGAATGCACAATCTCTTTACGGAGTGCCGTTGTATGTTTCTTGTATCCCGGCCGAATCTCCTCAGTTTTTCACCACGTTTCAAAGACCCTTGCGCCTCAGCGTAACTCGAGTCCTCGTCAAATTCAAACCAAAAACTCTGCAAAGTGTGAACAACAACACCTCCCCCTTGCCTAGTTGTTCCTGACGCCAACACGCATCCCTGCCCGTGCTCCATCGACGACCGACCAATCAAAACTTCCTCGGTAGGTGATCAAAGCGGCGGAGGACGCAAGCGGGGCAGAGCGGTCCTTCTTGCTCCTGGAGAAAAGAGCCGAGGCAGAGCGCGAGGAGAGCAGGTGCTTGGGAGCGCAGAAAGATCTCAGGATCTCGGAGCTGGAAGCGCAGGTGCTACTCGTCGTCAAGCATTGGATGCGGATAGCAAGCATGATGCCTCTTTGGTGTCTGGGGTCTAAACTAGATTCCGCGTAGATCCGGGACTTGTGTCATGGCTACGTACAGCAATGTTCGGGCAGCGCGTGCGTAGACTCGTCAGGCTTGGTTGGCAGCAATCCACTTTCCGCATAGGCCGCATTGCTATGGTTGGCAAGTGTACTGGGTGTGCGATGCATGTGGCCTTCTTGAGAGACACGGCGTTTTTCACAAGGCACGTCACTTTTCAAGCGTTGATGCGTATGTGGGCGACCCCTTGACCAACAAGAAACACCGCTGTTTCTAGCCGGCATCTGGTGAGGTGACACGAGTAATGCGGAGTCTGCAATGCATAACGCAGTCAACAAGCGTGTTAGGCTTCGTGCATGGCGGCACTGCCACAGCGTTCCAGCTCACAATAGTCGCGGGAAAATTCGTCGCAATGTGCTGAGCTCTCTCCCCCATCAGTACTGCCTTTTTTTTTTCCTTTTGAACTCGGTAGGTCTTTTTTGAGTAAGCTTGAGGCCCCCCCTATGGTCGTGGCAGTCTGATCCGTACTATGCATTCTGGTGTCGTCCTTGCAAGTCGGTTTCGCCATGGTACCAAATACCCGCAAACGCCGTATGGATCGTTCGCTCGCAAAACAAACCTCAACCGAGTAGGTCGACCAGCTTCGGACCAGCTTGGCCGGAGCGCTAGACGGCGCTACCGCGACCCAGGAGGACCTTGCTGGCGGACGCACTGGGAGAGCTACGGCGAGGAGGCGTAGCCGGGTGCAGGGTCTGAACGGGCTCGACAGGTACGTCCTGTAGGGGTGATGATGGTGATCGTTCTTGCAGTGCTTCTAATGCCGTTGTTGTTGGTGGTGGTGGTGTTGTTGTTGATGATGATGGTGGTGGTGGTGCTGGTGTTGTTGTTGATGATGATGGTGGTGGTGGTGCTGGTGCTGCTGCTGCTGCTGGTGCTGCTGCTGCTGCTGTTGTTCCTGTTGTTATTGTTGTGCTGTCGCTGGTGATGGTGATGGTTCTCGTGGTGCAGGTGCAGGTGCTGCTGCTGCTGCTGCTGCTGCTGCTGTAGTTCCTCGCGGCAACCAGGAGAGTCCCGTCCTCGCGGAAAGAGACGCGGCTTCCCCGGCCAGAGCTCTGATGCCACTCCCTCCCATTTCAAGGAAGAGGAGACGAGGTTCGCTGGCGGCACGGGGAAGGTGCTCTGCCTGTTTTCGCTCTATCGTGGCGGTTTCACGAGTTGTGGGACAGAACCGCTAACGTGGTGTGTATGTTTTTGTTATTCTTGCCCGTTTCTCAGGGAGATGGAGGTGTCCAGTCCGATGATGCCGCTATCGTCTCATGAGGGAGGGGGACGAGGAGGGGCGAGGAGCGGCAGCGGAAGGAGGCGTGAAGACGACGTCGGGATGGGGTTGGGGCCTGAGGTAGGACTGTAGGGTAAGGGTTGGGGGGTGCGCGAAATGAAGGATTCGCTATCCCGGAGGGGGGCTTGCGCCCCATGGCAGGACCTAGTGTGGCACCGCTCAAGCGGACACGCGGGGAACGGGCCTGCGTTATTTTGGCGAACGGTGGTAGAGTTTGAGTGAACATTGGGTGTCTCTTCAGGTTGAAACAAACGAGGGGGTGATTTCTGAGGTGGAACAGGAGGTACAGTTTGGGTATTGTTGTCGTCCCTCGCAGGAGGAGGGAAACCAAGCGTTATTGGCTGTGTTGTTGGGCTGGAAGCAGCGTTTGCAGGGCGGAGATGTCCTAGAAGCCGTGGTCGTTTCAGGGCGATCGATCGGGTGAGTGTCAGACCGCACGCCACCGTCGTAAGGTGTTCCCCGTGTGTGCAGTAAAGAAATGCATGCCCAGCGTTCCCACCCGCGGCTTTGGTCCCGGCAAGGTTGTACCAACGGCGCTGCCGTACCCGTGGTCCGAGAGATCGAGCTGCTGCAACGTTCGGGTTTACGACGACAACCACCCTTCACCCAGGCGCCCTTCGTCTTACCCCGCCTTGTGTGTTTGGAAACCGAATCCATCCAGGACGAACAACGCTTGTCGGACGTGGTGGAAACCCTTCGAGCGAGACTGGAGGAGGCGTCTCAGTCTCTGTCGGGCATGGAAGAGGAGAGGGCGCGGCTGGAGAAACAGGTCGAGTCCCGGGAAGAAGAGATAGCCCGCCTCGGCAGGCAGACCGGCAGCGACACCAACATCGAGAAGGTAATGGAAATAGAATACATACGCACGTGTATCGCGTCAGTCGTTTCGTTTATTTTCTGGGGAATGCTGTAGAAAAGTGACAATGGTACCGAACTCGAAAGCATACTGCCCACTACCCTGGCAGGAAACTCCCGGATGGACGCATCAATTCTGCAATGAACACCAAGAACAACTGAACTCGCCAAAAACAGAGAAACAGCATGAATACGAATTGCCTTGTTTTTCCTTTTTGTAAACAACGATGCCCGTCCCCAGAAAGCTTTTGTTCGACAAACGTTGGCACCGCGAAACGAAGGGTGCCATCGAAGGGCACCATGAAGCGTGATTCTACCAATAATTTTTCCTGTTTGACCGGTTTGTGTCCACGGATACATGGAGTAGTCCAACGTTGCTCCGGCTTCTGTCAACATCATTTCGCCACCCTCGCTGGCTGAAATACCCATGACAGGCTACATGGGTACGTACGTCCACCCGAAACCATGTGTGCATGTCTGGCGATTGATTAGTCAAATAAGAGAGATTAGTACCAAGGAAAGTGAGTGTGTCCCCCATCCCTTCCGATTGGCGGAAACCCGACTCTGTTCATTTCGAGGGCTACAGCCAAACACGGTGTACACTTACTGCCGTGCACGACGCACGACGCTGAGAACACCGACCCCCCACCCACGATCGTTCTCCCTGGCGCCCTGCATGGTGTACCAACAGGTGACGCTGGCGCACGCTTACGAAGCGAACCAGCGCATCGTGGACCAGCTGAACGACCAGGTCGACTTCTTGAACAGGCAGCTGGCCAACAGGGAAGCCCAGCTGGCAGAGGTGGGCGGGAAGTGAAAATTGAGAGTGTAAACAATTGAGGATTCTTGTTCCCGATTGAGTTGCCCCCACCGCAGCTGCTCCATCCTCTTGAGGACGCGCAGTCAATGATCTAACAACTAAAGCGTGCCAAACACGAGTACGCCCCCAGCCGTAGGGTAGGAGTCGCGCATCGTCCCAATTGCCGAACGCGTTGCTTGCAAGGGGATTGCAACGACGAGAACCAAGACAGGCGGCACGTTTGACTATCGGGCGGTTCCTGTGTTGTTTGGTAGAGCGTGAGAGTGATACTCGCATGCAGGTTCGACAAGCATGGGCCCAAAAAAATGGCGCTGAAGGTTTAAACTGCAGTCGCTTCTTGGCGTTCTTCAGCTGTTTGCTCAAACAAACCGCATGCCTACCCTCGGCGGCCGGATTATCCACTCGCTTTTTTTGTTCGCTTTCGAGGCGCTCCCTTCTCCAATCTGTATGTTTCTCGGAGCGAAACGCGGTTATCTCTCATGCGCTCTCGCCCCTCGGTTTCGGTCGGACAGGCCCGAAAAGAGACGTCCAACAGGGGGAAGGCGGAGCCGATGACGACGACGGCCGAGCTGGAGGTCACTCGTCTGCAGGTGATCCATGCCCGCTGGCTTACGGACTTTCTCTCTCTCTCTCTCTCTCTCTCTCTCTCTCTCTCTCTCTCTCTCTCTCTCTCTCTCTCTCTCTCTCGCTCTCTCTCTCTGTATCTCCCTCTGTATCTGCTGCTACTCTTGCTGTTGTTGCTATTCCGCTCTCGGTCACGTCAGTTCTTGCGTCCGCCTCTATCTTCACAGCACCCTTTACACGTACACACTTGGCGAGGAATCACCGCTTGTACAGTAGGCAGGGGAGTGACATTGTCGCTCCGATACTCCTTTGGTTTATACCGCATCGTCTGCCCCGGCATCTAGAGCAACTACCCCTGACATACTCCTTGCTTGTCTTGCTTGTGTCTTCGTCGTGTTTTTTGCGACAGACCCTTGCCCGTACGCTTGAGGAAGACAACGATCGTCTGTCGAGACGGACCGCAGAACTCGAGAACAAAGCCTCCGCCAACAGCTCCGGCAAGGGGGGGGGGGAGGAGGAAGGGTGGGAGGTGGTCGGGGAGGGAGAGCACGAGCGGTCACAACTCGAAGCGGTAAACTGCGTTTCGTTGGCGTTACTCACAGGACGTTTATCGAAACATCTAGTTCCAAGGTTGCTGACCTTGGTCTTGGCAAGCGAAAACGAAGACTCGGAAGCTCACAAGTCCACCACCACAACGATCGATGTTGTGTGGACGAGTATCTCTCTTTTTTTTTTTTTTTTTGCAGTGAAATTTGATCGAGGAAGAACCTGCCTCAAGATGTTCTTCGTTTTTGGAGTGAAATTCTTCTTGGTTGCTCGTTCTAGTCGCCACCCTCTCGCCCACGCGCACGACATCGAGCCTGCACCAGATCGCCCCGCTGCGCCCACTCCAACTTGTACACAACGCGGCTTTCCCCTGTTCCCCACGTCGATGCCGCCATCCAGACCTTGGGAGAGACGAAGAAGGACTTGGTCAAGGCAGCGGCAGCAGCAAGCGAGGCGACGGCCGACGCTGAGGCTCTTCGGAAACGCGTGGCGTCCGTCCAGGGGGAGGTGCGAAACCGCCATGTTTTCAATCATGAGGCAGATAGGAGCCGCGTTTTTTTTTTGCCTACCGTAATTTTTCATTATCTTTGCATGTCTAGTCATCTGCGGTTGAGATTTCGCTCACTATGCCACTATCTTGCATGTCTAGTGATCTGCTGTTGAGATTTCGCTCGGTTCTAGCAGACGACTAAGGAGTGCCTAATCAAAACCCGGGACTTCACCCCTACATCAAAGCAACCCACGGGAGGGTTGTCAGCGAAATTTATCGCCAATCTCTCCACTGATCACAGAGTAAAAAAATAGAGCTGAGTCATGATGGAGTGACATGGTTCACTCGCACGGCGGCGTTTGCTGGTGTACTTCAGGGCGGAGACTTGGTTTAGTCCCGTGGCGTGCTCTCCAATCACTGCCTGCAAGATCAAGAATATAAGTAAGGCATCCGTTTATCCGCCTCTGTCCATGCCCGCCCTCTGTAGGTTGCTCGGCTACAGGGGGAAGCGGCAACCAGGACCGAAAGGCTGGAACAGCTGTCACGAGAGCGGGAGGAGCTTCTGGAGAGGCTCAAGACATCCGCGAAGGACCTAGAGAGCGCTGAGGTCGAGGCTGCGAGCGGAGTCGCACGGGAGAGGAAGGCGGAGAGGCAGCGGGGAGAGGAAGCTCGAAGAAGCAGGTGCGTTTCGTTTTCTCACTATGTTCCGGGTTGGCTGGTGTAGCGCGGCGTGTTCGGTCGCAGCTGGCCGCGAGACGAGTGTAGCACCGTGCTCGTTATCGCATGCAATGGTGAAGTTGGTCGAGATACGACCAGCGAAGATGTCCACCTCTCAAAGTCACCGTCTCTCCTGCCCAATTCACGACGGCACTGCAGCCAAGTGCAAGTGAAATTGCCTCAAATGTTTTCGTACAAGTACGAGTGATGGCTCACACGCGAGACCGATTTATAGGGCTCGATTTCTCCATAACCAGGAGGGTTGTTGCGCAGACCAAAGCTTGGCATGTTCACTCTTCGCAATGATATTTGGACGTCGGCGGCCTCCCTTCTCTGCACAAGGCCGACAAGAGATCGCCTCTTACTTGCTCACGTGGCCCAAGCGCGCAGCAGAGGGAGTTCCCACCCGCTGCTAGCCCGAACCATGAGAAGGCACACACCCTCCCATGCCAACAACAAAGTCAGTTCTCGTTGAACGAATCGGAAGGCGCTGGAGGTAAATCAAAACGGGACTTGTAGCGTACAGCGGCCACTTCCCGCCAGTATTGTCATTAAGCCCCCCTTCCCAGTGAAACCTATCCTGGTCCGGAGAAAAACCGGCGTATCGCTCCGTCCCGGAGTTGTAGGGATGCGAGGTCAACGGTCTAACGACAACGGCGTGCGTCTACACGTGTACACCCCCCATCTCTCCGTTCCTTTGGCACAGGGCGACCACCGAGCGCCTCTCCGTCGTGCAAGAGCAGACGGAGTTCCTTGCCGAGGAGGCCGAGTCCGCAAAGGCGGGGGAAGGGGTCGCGGCCAGGCGCGCGGCGGCGGCGGAGGCCCGTGCCGCCGAGGCGGAGCTCGACGCGGCGGCCCTCGAGAGAGCGCTGCGGGCGGAGTCTCGCCGAGCGCTGGGGGCGGAGGGGGAGGCGGCGAACGCGAGGGAGGCGGAGTTGGCGGTGGAGGACCTGAGGGAAAGGATGGAGAGGTTGCGGTCGAGGCTGGAGGCGTCGGAGGCTGCCAGGTGTGTGTTGGATCGCTTAGGATACCACGCCCCCAAGACCGACGCTCAACTACTGCGCGTTCCATCATCAAGTTGATCCGTAGCTGGGAAGCCTCTCGACGAGGGGGTTCCAACGCCCCCCCCTTTCTGCATCGCTGCTCCCTTTGCTGCATAGTTATTAAGCTTTGTCCAGTGGGTGCGATATCTTGTGCGACCTACGGTAGGTGATCGCGGACCGGGGCCGGATGAGAGGAGTGTTCCTTTCGAGTTTTTTTTTTTATGTGGAGGAATGTCGCTCTTGCTTGCGGGGCGAGCAGTGTGCCTTTCGTAGACGAGATTGGAAGCGTTGGTGTGTGTGTGTTTGTGGCATGCGTTCTCCTTCCCCCGCCAAACCACTATAGCCATTTTTTGGGCGACACGCGTAAACTCCGCCAGATACTCAAGCTTCCTCCGCTTCCGCCTCGTTTCGACAACAGGGATGCCCTGAGCGAGGAGCTGGAGCGCTTGGCTGGACAGGGCAGCCTCCTTGGGGTGGAGCACTTCGCGCAGTCGGTGGGTTTCAGCCAACCTCTGCCGTTGACATACAAGAATATTTCTTCCTCCCTGATCGACAAGATGCAAATCGAAGTAAATTCTTTGTTCCCAGCCTTGGACTACCGCCGAACCCGGCGTTCAGGACCACTCGACTCATCACGTACGTTGTCATCCCGTCCCTGAAGTAGATATCACAACCCCAACTCTGCTCAACCCTTCAACGCAACTCAACACAACCTATAAAACCCTAACCCACCAAAACAACCGCCAGTATTCTATCACAACCACGACCTGTAACCCTAATCTACCCCAACCAACCAAATATATATCTTAACCCAACGGGACCCAACCCGAACCGAACCCAACCGAACCCGAACCGAACCCAACCGAACCCGAAACACAGAGCCGAGTGGGTGCCCTGGAGCGCGAGTCTGCCGCTCTCACAGCCGACCTCAAGGCCAGAGAGAGGGACGTGGCCGGCCTCCTTGAGCAAAAGCGGGCTCTGGAGGAGGAGGTTTCGAGGGCGCAGAGGGCGTTATCGCGGGGGGCGGTTGAGACGGCGACGATGGCGCAAGGGGAGCTGGCCCTACAGGTATGCAATGAAGGCTAAAGCATCTCGTGTTCGCTTTCTCTTTTGTGTTTGTGTTTCAGTCTCTTTCTTGTGTGTCTCGGCAGACCACGTCTTCGGTATGAACCAGTTTTTTCTTCTTCGTACGCCAACGGTACTTGTATATATAAACGTTTGTGAGGAATTATGAACGGGTTGTCTGGATAACGTGTTTAGTTTATTTTTTTGCCCGAGAAGGGTACGCGCATGTCGGGCTCGAGGTCGCTCGTGCGAAGCCGGCAGATGGACGACGTCGGTGCGCCGTCTGTCTCGCGGAGATTGTGGTGGAAGTCTGCTGAAGAATGTTGTTGGAGCTTGTATTTGTGGGAGTCGAACTCTGGGTTGGTTGGTGGCCTTGCCGTTTGTTTCCAGGCATGAAGCGAAGCCTGGTACGGCGTTTGCTGTTGCATCTACGCTATCGTGTCATGTTGTGTTTGGCGTGTGCTCTTCCTGCTCGGAGAGTCTTATTTTTCGAATTGCAGGTTGTCTGTCCTCATCACACATTTTTTCTCCATCGTCGTTGCAGACGTAAGAGATCATTAGGACGACAGTTGCCCTCGGGGTACTTTATAGTGCGGCGTGAAAGGGTGAACTGCCCTCGGGCACCTGACAGTTGGTCGTGCTGGCAGTGTTTGTAATATTTGACTCATCACTTCCGCTTTCGCTGTTGGTGTTGTTGATTCATTGTGCGGTAAGGATTCATAGTAGCTTGTGAAACACCAAGTTACAACACTGTTTACGGGTTCTTATTCATTATTATTCACTTCAGACACACCTCTCCCAAGTAAATCGTGCTCTTACGCATTTTCCTCTTTTCACCGGTTGATGTTCCAGGCAAGGGTGGAAGAGGCCACTGACGAGGTTAGAGGGCTGAGGGCTGAGGTCGGCAGGCTCACGGATGCCCTGTTAGCGGAAGAGAGAAAGGTGGGCCGCTTCTTGTTGTGCTGCCGCTGGTGCTGTTGGTTGTGGCCATCGTACTTATAGGCCATCGCTTTCGCTCGCAAGTAATTGTTTTTGGCTTATGGTGGCGCCGAAACACGCCGCCCGCCCTCTCACCTTCACCCAGCGACCAGTTGCCCCGCATGCCTTGGCATGTTTTGGTGGTAAAGGTGGATGTGACGCGGAATGTGTCGACGGTTTTGCAGGTGCCGACTGGTGTGAAAAGCCCTAGTGTTCCTTACAGTCAGCCGTTGGCTAAGTTACTGTCATTCTCATCTACCCAGTATTTTTATTGTGAAGCCTCTCTCACAACATTGATCCTGCCCACCCAGCAGCCAGTCGGGCTGCCAACAGTATCCTAGTGCCATACAAACCTTCCTCCCCACCTTGCTCCCTTGCGAAGACCGTGGCGGCCAGAGACGAGGCCGACCGCCTTGCTACGCGGCTATCTCACCGCAGCGCAGGGTTCGAGGGCTTGGAGTCGGAGTTGGCCTCCTCTAGGGCGGCGCTGGCGGTGGCCAGGGCTGAAGCCACGGAGCGGGAGGGGATGCTCGCGAGGATGGAGGCGGAGGCCGAAAGGTCCGACCGGGGGGGGGCGTATTTCTGCAAATGTGTTCGTCTACGCACTGTGATACGTGTTGGTCTTGTTGGGGATGGGGTGCATGAAACTTCACGTGTGTTTCCTTTCGTCGGAGGGGGGAGCTGCATGTCGCGAGTCTCGAGCATTTGACCATTGGACACGCTTTCCTTTCGAGACAAAGCAGGCAGGGTCGGTCCCCTACTCCGGATAGAGGCTTCCTCGATCAGACCTTTTAGCCGCTGGGAGACTCGTGTTTTTTAGACCCCGGACCCCGGACGTGACTATTGCATAGTCCATGGCAGCAAACTCACCCCGTTCATGTCAGTGACTGGTGCCCCGTGCCTCTCGGTCATGGACATGCGCCCTGCTTCTTCCTCGTGTTTCTATTTTTGTTGTTATTGTGTTTTTTTCAGATCGAGGTCGAGCCTGGCGGCCCTGGAGCAGCAGGTGGTGGTGTCCAGGGAAACTATCTCCGACAAGGACGACGAGGTCAGGCGGTTGAAGGCCCTCGCCAGGCAGCTCGAAGGGTCCAGGTGAGGTGTCGCCCCGGGCAATGTCGTCGTGCTTCTATTCTTCCCGCCGATAGCAGTTGGCGTGCCGATGTGCGTTTTGACGAAGGCGAAAAGGGGCGTCAAGGGTGTGCACGGAAGGTGGGGCGAGGAGACCGGAGAGGGCGGCGGTTTGATGGTATGGGTGTGGAAGGAGTATGGAATGCGGATGACCACAATATTAATTGGTGACGCGGATGAAAAATGAGTCTTTTGGGTGTATTCCGTCCTGGGGTTAACTTCCCGCCTGCTACAACGGTTAGGCCAGCACGTGGCGACCACGGGGTAAATTTGTCGAAGTGAAGGTAAATTATCAACCGACCAACGACGAGCGAGAATCGAACGTTGTTCTCTTGTTCTCTTGCTTCAGAGAATCGCTCAAAACCTCCAGCGACGAGGTGCACGCGGCCCTCCGAGACGCGGAGATACGAGTGGGCCAGGCGTTATCGGCAGGGGACAGCGCCAAGAGGGAAGCGGAGGCTGCCCGAGCAGAGGTTCGTGTCTGGTTTCTGCTCGATGCCGTTGCCCTCCTGTGCATATCATCAAAATCTCATAAACTATTAACCCCTTTGGGGGCCTGAATGCCGTATCTCCCAGGTTGTCAAAGCGGTGGCGCGTAATGTATGGGTATGCTAGATGTCTTTTTTTCTACCCGAGCGTGTTGCATGAACTAATTTTACTCCCCGTTTCTAACAATTTACCGTGTTTTCTTTTTTAATTTCAATGCCCCGTCAACGTCACAAATTCCATATTATCCGCGGAATTCCGTCACGTTGTTCGCAGGAGCTGGTTCTCCGAACGCACAACACTGGCCGCATATTCGGAACCTGTTTTTTTTCGTCCCACGAGTTCATGTCATCTTCGCTCCGCGCCAGATGTTTACCCGTCCGGTCTCCGTGTGTAGCACGATACGTGGGGTGTCAACGGAGATACTTCTTTCTGTGGTGCTGCGATTATCCGAAGAAAAGCGCGTGTGCTATTCGTTGCTGCTTCGGCTCTCTCTCTCGTCTCCCCAATGACTGACGGCGTTGTTGATGTGCGCGGCTGGTTGGGCAGGTGGCGCAGCTCAAGAGCGCGCTGACGGAGCTAGACGCGGACCGCGATCGTCTGCAGGTGAAAATGGCTTGCGGGTTCCTTGCTCTGGTGATTTTTTTTCCTTCGTAGTCGTCGTTATTTCGTTGTTGTTGTTCTCGTGGTTGCCTTCAGCGTGGTGACAGCAGTGGTAGTGGCAGTGGCCGTGGTGATGCCAATGTTGGGCAACGCTATCGGTTGTCATATGCATACAGTGGGTTCTGTAAGTGTGAAAAGGTACAACGACAGGTGTGTTGTGTTGTTTGAATGCTGTTGCAACAGAACAGTACACGTTGTCGTTGTCGTTGCCCTTGCTGTCGCTGCTGCTGCCGCTGCCGCTGCTGCTGTTGTCCGAACCGGTGACGTGCTTACCCCGGTGCCCTCTTTGTAACCCTTGCACCCTCAGGACACTCTGGACAAGCAGAGTGAAAAGATGGCAGAGCTGCGAACGGACGACGCTCGCTGGCGTTCGCAGGTGAGTGAAAGTTACTGTTGTCGACGCTGCCGATGGTGGTGATGATGATGGATGGATGGCGTTGTTTTGCTGTTGTTGCTGGTAGTGTTGGTGGTCGTCGTGGCCGTGATGCTGCTGCTACGTCGGATTGTGCAGTATGACGCAACTGTTGCTGTTTGTTGTGAGAAAGCCCCACATGGTCGCGCTGCTGTCTCCAGGTCGAGGAGGCGGAAGAGCGCCTGAGAGAAGAGGGCTCAAGGTGCTCCGATCTCGAACGAGCACTCGAAGACTCGGAGAGGAGGTGCGTGTCTTCAAACCATGTTGTTCTCGAACCACTTTGCTTTTTTTATCTGCCCAAGCATGTTCATGACCTGCCCATGTCATGTGAAAGCATCGTCTGTCCCGCACACAGTGTGCCAGTCGATCAAACAGATGCTGCAAGTATCAGCCAAAACGGGAGATATCATGGCTGTATGCTTCTCGAAGATCAGTAGAGGCGCTGGTAGACCATCAGACGTTAGTCAAGCTTGGAAATTTTTTCTTTGGTTCGTTGAGGCTCGCTGGGCTCTTCGAGTGAACCACGTCAGATGTGTGATCCATTGAGCTTGGGAAGCTTCACACTACAGCTGGCAGCCAGCTGTGGGTTGGTCCTACTGCCTGCTTCTAGTTTCATTTTGCGTCACCCCGTGGATAACACTGCTGTGCTCTCATGAGCCCGCTCCTGAGGAGTCATTTGTATGCACTGTGGATCCGTAGTTATCTGTGGGTATGGGCTTCTATGAATAATTTTTGGTGCAGGAAAAACGAAAAAAAGGAGATCGTGTGGTTTTTTTTTTTCTTGAACAGCCTTGCAGTGCCAGAGCCCCGCAACCAACCTCTTGAGCTTGAGTTGCGACTCATGATCGATTCTCTCGGCTCCGAGATGACAGCGGTGCGAACACGAGTGCAGTGTGTGTGGAGGCATCTGTTTTTCCAATGAGATACTTTCGAAACCACCTCGCCATCAATCCCGTTCTCTTTCTCTTCATTCCCCCTTTCTGCGCGCCCCCCTGTTCTTGCACGTGTACGTGCCCACGGACCCACTGCTGTCATACCGCCTGATCACATTATTTTGCAAACTTTTGTTTGGCGGAGCGGTCTGTTGCCTTTCTGTCTTTACGGTTGGGGTCCTACGAAGCCGCTGCGCATGTGAAGATTTTCGTCACCCGAAATTCGTATTTCCTGGACTGGTCTACATCCTCCTTTGTTAACTCTCTTTTCTTTTTGGTCGTTCAAGGGCTAAGGAGGCTAGTGGGAGCGCGGTGGAGAGTTTGCAGAAGACAGAGGCGTTATCGTCTGCCCTGGAGGCCAAGACCGGGCAGCTCGCGGCGGCGACCGAAGACTTGGAGGTTGCCGTCGTCTTCGTTGCCCGTTGCTGTTGCTGTTGCTGTTGCTGTTGCTGTTGCTGCCGTTGTTGGTATTGCCACAGTAGTCATGTTGGAAAGTATGTATCTCTGTTAGAACATTAGTCATGAACTCGCGAAGGAGAAGGCGTGGACGTGCACTACGTTGGTTTCATAAAACACGTGGCGCATGTGTACGTCTTCATTTGTGAACGCTTGCAATTTCGAAGGTATTCTTGCTGGTCTTGTTCCATCACAAAGCCAGGTCTCAGCCCACGTCTCCCGTCTAGAACATTACCCCCTTACCTAATCGCTGTTCCCTTGTTGCACGAACACACCGGAATACGTTTCCGGTTGCCCCCCTTGATGGCTATTTTTCATTGTTGTCTCGTCTCTCCTTGACGTCGCTTCGTCTTCGATCTCTGTACAGATGATGGCCAAAGAGAACCAAGCGGTGACGTCAGAGCTGACACGGCTAGTGGCCGACAGAGACGAGGGCCGCCGCAAGCTCGGGGACGCCCTCCACAACCAGTCCACGGCAGAGCAGGTGTGCGTGCGCGTTTTGAACAGCGAACCCTTCGCATTGCGTGGGTGGATAGGCTTCTTGAGCGTGGCTTCCCTTTCCGTAGGCATGTACCACGCGCAGGCACCAAACGCTAGACAATATGCTGGTCACTATGAGGTTTGTAATCACCATGCAAGACAAAATACCAGGTTGTACAACGAAGTGTGGCATCATTCGGATTCTCAGCGGTCGCGAAGCTTCATGGATTTTCACTTGGCAGAGTTACGAGGCTTGTTTCGCGCTTTGCCCCCACCTTCAGCTACCACGAAGAAGTTTCACTACTCCATGTTCGCAAAAAAAGCAATTTTTGCCCAAATTAGTTCTTCTGCCTAACAAGCAGAGCGCGTCACCTGATGCCTCTCCGCGTTTTGTTCTGCTTGTCGTACCCCCCGCTTTTTCGACCTCGTTTGTTCGCTTGTCCTCGTTCCTTTGGTTGGTTTTGCCAGGCGGCTCGTGCGGCTGAATTCGAGAAGGAGGACGTGCTTAAAAACTACAGGGGTTTGCACGCCGAGAAGAGGCGGTTGGAGGCGGGGATAGACGAGCTCCAGCTCACGCGTCAACGCCTCACCAAGGTGTGCCTTGCTAGATACTCCTACAGAAGGCCGTGAATGCCGTGCGACTGCGTCAGGATGGATGGTGGAGTCCGCAGGAATATATACCACATCTATTTTGTTGCGGCTGTGATATTCCCACGCGCACTCCATCATTTCGCGAAGGTTTCATGAAGGGCTGAACTAAATAACACCGCATCGTCATTGTGACTTTAAGCGTGTTTGGTCAGACAATAAGAAGTTTGTTTTTGCTCGCGGATTTACCTCGGGCTTGTGTCCCATATTTTGTGACTGCCCGTCTTGTGTTTTTTCCTGTTTTGTTCGCATCGTCGTCACACTTTTTTTGTTGCTTTCTTTTTTGGCCTATTTTGATTATTTTTCTGATCTTTCTCGCTGCCAATGAGCAATTCGAAAGCGAGACGCTGAATTGTCCAAGCCAAACATTTCTCGGTCACGATGCCCGAACACGTGCAACGTTTCGCTTACAATTCGCGCCTTGGAGCCCCCACCTCCCATCTTCCCCCGACATCCTTTGGGAAGACGAAGAGAGGAACATGGACTGCGCGATACTGAGTGAACATCTTCTCAACCACTTGCATACTTCCACAAGTAAATATCGTAGTGACTACAACAATATGTTGGTGGGCGCTATTTCTGGTGGTTATTTTCAATCCAAATGTTTTTTTGTTTTTCCCATCCGTTCGTTGGTTCCCCTTGGAAAATTGCCGAGTGTTTTTCTTGTTGCGCCTTAAGATGGTGTTGGTGTTTCCTTCCTTTTCCTTCCAAGTTTGAAACGAAGAATCGTGTCATTTTTGTTAAATTCTCTCGAATTAGAGCTTGGCGGGGCGAGACTCTGAGGTGTCGAAGCTGAGGTCCTCAATCACGGCCCTGGAAGTCGAGCTGCAACGCAAGACCACGGATCTTGGAGCCGTTCAGCGACAGGTATGATGTATTGTACGCTTGGGGTGTTGGTTTTGTGCTTTCGTTTCGCCTCCACTATCGCGAGAGTGGCGCTGAGCACACTTGCGATACGTTGTGGCTGGGGTCTGTCTGGCGCATCACCCGCGATAATTGCTGAGTGTTGTTCGACATGCTTCGTAGTGTTTGGGAACCAACGGAGGGCTTTGTTGGCGACAATAGCCTAACCTCCCAATGGAAAGGCAGGGAGTGACGCTTCATTATTTGGTCCCTGTATTAGGCCGCATATTGCCAAGCGATTCGGGTGGCATGCGTCCTATTGTAGGCATACGCCAAACAGGTGTTCACCTTGGAGTCTGGAAAATCGGATGAGGAAAGAAACCAATACTCCGTAAGTCTAGTCGGTTGTGTTACATAGGAGAGACCGTTAACGGTGTCGCATGTCTTCGGTGATAATTTTTTTGAAATCTTGAGCGCTTTTCAGATTGAACATCATTTTTTATTTATTTCGCACTACCCTGCATGGGCCAGCGGCTGACAAAAAAGTAGCAGGCCCAAAATGGCCGTATTTGACCCCTTTCCAGAGGGGGGGGGGGGGGGGGGGGCTAGTGAAAAAAATAAAAAA